TGGTGACCTACATACAACAGAATGAAATGTTGCCAGGTCCTGCATCATCCTCACAATCACCGGCATACTTGAGTCCATCATTGCAGCTATTGTGCCAATCCATCTCAACGAAGGTCTCCTTTGCCCTTGATGGCCCTTTACTTTACCCAACATGTTGTCTTTCTCCAGTGATTGATCCCTCCTGATGACATGGCCACAGCAAGTGAGTTGGACAATGTTTTGTTGTGATCCAGAAGTTTTCATTGGCTAATTTTCAGAAGTGGGTCGCCAGGCCTTTCTTCTTATTCTTACATTGGAAGCTCCAGTGAAACCTGTCCACCATAGATGACCCTGCTGGTATTTGAAATACCAGTGGCATAGTTTCCAGCATCATAGCAACTCACAAGCCACCACAGTATGACAAATTGAAAGAGGAGTGGTGGATCAAATATTTAGAGAATGCTTTTCACACCTGCAGTAAGATACACTTGTTGGTCCCCAAAAGCTGCTCATCTAAAGGAGGAGGCCGGTTAGACGTTTTGCTCATTACACAGTCAAGAACACAGCAGTATATAGCCTAGCATGGCAATGCCTGGTAGCATTTGTGCAGAGAAGGGGTATTCAATGACAACAGGTCCCAAGGAATCAGACAGGCTGCCTGGGGGAGGGGCTCTAATCGGGGCCTTCCTTAAAGAGAGGCAGGATTTGGGTGTGCCTAGGAAGATGGATTTCCAGAACAGAAGCAAGGACACAGTTAGTGAGCCCCCTCCATAGGTCAGACATCAATCTTTTGATCCTTACAGCAACCCAGTGCAGCAGGTTTTATCCATGCTTGATAGAGAGCAGTTTAAAGGCCAGTACCACACAGATGGTGGCAAAGCTGATTGAAACTGACTCTGACTCCAGAGCCCAGGCCCCTCCCACTGCGTGGCACTGCCTGGTGCAGAGGCAGGAGCAGAGCAATAATTTATCACTGAGGACACTTTGAGGACACTTTACGTGGTAGAGGTGAGGAATGAGAAACAAGGTGGCAGGGAGAGGCTATAGCAGAAATCCAGGCAGAGGACCTGGAAGTTCTGGGTCAGGGTGGAAAATGACAAGAGTAAAATAGACGCTAGTCCGTGTATTGCATGGATTGGTCTAAGGAGGGACCACAGTCAGGGAGACCAGTTGGTTGGTTGACTAAGTGAATGAATGATCAAGGGAAAGGAAGACTAGATTTTAATGGATGGCCTTAGCATGTACACTGTATGCAAGAGCGAAGGGCAAGGAGAAAGAGAAGCTCCCATGGGTGTAGTAGTTAAGAGAGGAACCCGGAGCGCCACAGTCCAGCTTCATATTCTGCCACCACCACTTCCTACTTCTATGACTGTGTTACTTAGCTTCAAGTTACTTAACATCGCAATGCCTCAGTTTTTTCCTCTGTAAAATGGGGTGATAACAGTACTTATATGGTTGTTGAGAAGATTAAATGTATAATCTAAAGCACTTAAAACTGCTGTGTAAATGCTAGATAAATGTATTTTTGTAGAATCCTCTACTTCCCACTGGTTAATTCTTTAACTTGATTGGAATTAAAGAATCCATTTATTTAATTTGAAGAGGCTAACCTACCTTTTTCTCTGAAGAAAACAAAACCCACGATATAGGTGAGGCAGATGCTGTGGATGGTCTGCCGAGTTGTCATTTCCCCTTTCTTCCATGCTGGGAGAACCCCAGCTTTTGGAGCAATCTGCCCTTCTTCATACAGCCAAATGTTTCACTTAGATAATCATGGTGCCCTCACTGCCCTTGCCAGTGATGGTTTTAGGCTTCCTCAGTGATGGAGACCATGGAAGAGACTTCACTTTAAACCTACAGGATGCTGCTAAATCTGGCTATGATGTCTGGAGCTGGGGCAGCCATGTTGCGACTGTGAGGAGAGCTGACCTCTGACGACAAACCTGACAAACTGAGATGGCAGAGCAGAAGGACAGAAAGGACCTGGCTGAGCTGCTGAATTAACCAATCCCAGGGTCATTCGAGATTTCTTATTCTGTGAAATAATAAATTTTCTTTATTGTTGAAGCCATATTGAGTTGAGTTTTCAAGTTTCTTGAAGCTGAAAGCATTCTGACACTGAAGAAGTAAAAATGTGGTAGCAATCTAGATGGATCTATTCATCCTTTTCTATGTATACTAAAAGAAGTAAGTTCTAGATTCAAAACCCTGGTTTTAGACTTTTACAAAGAAACAAAACATTAACACATTTATGGAGCGTACAGATATGATGCAGGGCAGTTGGCATCAGCTTTTTATATGAAAGGCAGCAGTTGTTCTCTGAACTATTTTTGGAGCACTACCTTCTATTGACTAGCCCCAAATCAGTCTGATGATGAGTTGAAACTAAATGTCTACTACAACAGAAAGTTTTTCTGAACAACTGTTATTTAATCCTAGAGATGACAGCCTAATAATGAACTAGGAGGTCCAGAACATTAAGACCCTGTGGTGTGATGGATCACTTTGTGTGGCCTTTCTAGCCATGGTCTTGTAATTCCCATGCAAGTGATTGGGTGGGACTGTGCAAATAAGGCAATTGTGGCCCACCAACAGGATTGGTTGGTTTTGCCTTAAAGAGAGCCAATTCCAGAGCAGGGAGAGGATCCCACCACCACCAAGGAAGAACAGCCAGGAGCGGAGAGCTTGTCCTTTGGACCCGGGATCCCTGCGCTGAGAAGCTCCTGGAACCAGGAGACCGAGAGAGTGAGCTGTAACCCTGAAGATGGTGAGAAGCCGTGGCAGAAGAGACCGGCAGGATATCGTGCAGTAGACTTCCCAGCCTACGGAGCGAGAAAGCTGAGTACCCCCAGGGACTTATTGGCAGGGGCTAAAAGAGCTTTGCAACACTTGCCTGAGCAGGGCAGAGGCCTGGGCCAGAGAGAGGTGTCCCTGTGAGCACAGCTGAAAAGATGCTGGCCTGATAGAAGAATTGTATCCTGAGTGTTCCTGAACCTGAACTGTAACCTGTTACTTCCCTAATAAATGCCATAATTGTAAGTATCGTCTGTGAGTTCTGTGTGGCCATTGCAATGAATTATCAAACCTAGCAGAGAAGTAGAGTGCGGTGGGAGGGCGGGATGGTGTCAGAACTGATAAAAATGGTGGAGAGAGGATAGGAATCAGCCTTGGGCTGTTGATCTTGACTCTCTTTCCCTCTTGTGAAGTTATAGGAGGTTAGACACTGGCCCCACGCCATTTTTACAGACAGACACAAAGGTGGGCATTTAGTGAGAAGTACTTGTGGTATGATAACTGAGACCAGATACAAGCTGGTCTTATCTTCCACATATTACCTGATTCTACAAATCCTTGGATCCATCCTAATCTTAACCCACAAAAAGTTGCCTGGGCCTTTATTTTCGGGAGTTTAGCTTCTTAGAGTTTCCCCAGTTTGTATCATATTTTGAGTCCCACTTCCGCCTCCTCCCAAGAAGGAAGATTACTAATATTGTGGTTTGATTCCATGTGTGTTAGTATGTGAAACCACTTTGCCTTAAAGACCCAGCACGCCTTGGTCCAAGTGTCGAAGCTGGCGTAGGACGAGTTTTGACCTCGTCATCTCGCTTCCTGTTTCCTTCCTACTGTGTAGCCGGCTGGAGTGTGATAAGATTGAGGACTGAGCTGTGAGGGAAACAAAATAAAGCAAGAGTTCTCATGGCCTGCTTCAGTTTGAGGCCTAACTGTACCTCACGTAGCCTGGCCCAACTTACTGGGTCCACTGCTTTAGGGTCAGGGGCAGAAGGGCCAGCTAATGACGAAATACTATTTCGACTTCCTTGTCACTGGCTTTTGTGCTTTGCGAACGTTTGTAGGGGAGAGTTTGGGAACGTTGGCTGTGGTTTAGGCTGAAATAAGGGATTCCTGGGTTTCTTGGCTCAAAGCCATCATAAGATCACCAAAATCTACCACAATACCTCATAAAGTCCCTATGGCTTTTTTTTAAATTGTTGTACTTTAAGTGAAAGTTTATAATTCAAGTTAGTCTATCATACAAAAATTTAAAAATACATTGTTATTGACCCTAATTGCTCTCCCTATACTGTGACAGCACATTCCTCCTTTCCACCTCTGATTTCCCGTGTCCATTCAACCAGCTCCTGACCCTCTCTGCCCCTTCATCTCACCTCCAGACAGGAGCTGCCCATTTAGTCTCATGTATCTAATTGAGCTAAGAAGCACACTCCTCACAAGTATCATTTTATGTCCCACAGTCCAGTCCAATCCCTGTCTGAGGAGTTGGCCTCAGAAACTGTTTCAGCTCTGGGTTGACAGAGAGTCTGGGGGCCATGCTTTCTGGGGTTCCTCCAGTCTCAGACCATTAAGTCTGGTCTTTTTACTAGAATTTGAGTTCTGCACCCCACTTTTCTCCTGCTCCATCAGGGACTCTCT